GGAACTTTTTTCTTATTGAATTTGCGCGTAACAATGACGACGACTTAAATTATTTAAATGACGACGATGATAACATTGATAATGACGATAAGATGACGATGAAATCTATAAAATAAGAGGAATATAAATGCTAAGAAGATAATTTAAGAAAGAAAAGAAAAACGAAGACGCGTAAGGGATGCGCGACGAATTCGAAGTATTGTACATGGAGAAAAAAATATGGCGACACGATGGTAGAAGGGTAGGGGAGATGGCATGGGCCCAAGGCCCAAGGACTAACTAACAGTACCGTATTATCGTCAATGCAGTCAGTAGTATCGACATGATAATTTTTATCGTCGACCTGAAAAAATGTCTTACGTCAGTAATACTTCTTTCTGAGTGGCATCAATATCACATCCTGTAAAGAAAATTCGACAGAGAGTGAGAGAGTGAGAGAGAGAGAGAGAGAGGGAGAGAGAGAGAGAGAGAGAAAAGAGAAAGAGAATAGAACGCTGAAAGAGAAAGTAACCTGGAATGATTGAAAATTTCATTATTAAGTTTAACATTGATCATGTTCTTTTAAGGTCTCTTTCATGTGTATATATATATATATTTTTTTCTGATTTTTTTGAAAAATCTCAACGAAATATGACGATGATAATAATAATAATATCATATGTTAATTTCACTTTCTCGATTTGGTAAATAAATAAAAAAAGTATTATAGATGAGGTAAAAGAAAAGCGAACGAAGTTGCACAAACAAAGATATTACAGATAGAAGATTATTATCTATGTATGTACATATGTATGTATGTGTGTGTATATGTATGTAAAAAGGGAAGAAGAAACATCGTGTCGTCACTGCCTAAATTGGTACTCCATTTTGACGGATAATCGCTTTGGAAAATTTTCTTATTATATATATGTATATATGTATGTATGTATGCATATATATATATATATATATATATATATATATATATATACATATATTAATGAAACAAAAGCATTCTCCGAATATTGGGAAGACTTATATCGAGAAAGCAGTAGCGCCTGTATTTAAAATTATCAATTATTATATTCTAATTGTCGTAATATATATATTAGAATGATATTAGAAAATGTTTCTGAACTTACCTATGTCATTCACGTATGTATTTATATAAACATATGTTTGTTTACATCTATATATATATATATATATATATATATATATTTATATCTCTATGTATACATTTGTGTATTCATTTATGTACGCATGTATGTATGTATGCATGTATGTATTTATATATGTATGTATTTAAAACGTTTGCTCCAAATAAATCTCATTGGTTATATAGTCGACCGGGTAAAAAAGAAATAATGAATTTTTTCGAAAGCTTTGTTCGAGGTGCTATACAACAAAATAGTTAGAGAGAGATAGAGATAAAAAGAGAGATAGAGATAGAGATAGAGATAGATAGATAGAGAGAGAGGAAAGAAGAGAGACAGAGAGAGAGAAAGAGAGAGAGAGAAAAAGAGAGAAGGAGTGAAAAAGAGAGAGATAGTGTTTGTGTGTGTAACATACGCGTCCTAAATGATAATACTAATCCACTGATGATTTTCTAA